AATATGTTGGCGAAACGGGTAGACCACTCTGCGTCCGCATAAAAGAACACCTAGTCGGTAAATCTAAACTAAAACACAATACTCCACTAGGCGCGCATAGGATGCAAGAACACAACGGAGAAGATTTTGAGGTAGGAGTCACTATCCTTACGCAGGAATCGAAAACATCAGCGCGAAAAACTCTTGAAGCGTTTTGGATCAATGCCAAAAATTCAAAAATGAACCGCAAGGAGGAGTGTCTTGTCATCACGCGTGACCTAGCGCCATACCTCAGGCTGATCCAATGATCTGACATGGACCCAGTTATCGACCATGTATTACTCTGTGCGGCGGCTATCCACCAACTAACTTAAATACTTACAACAAATAAACGGTAGGTGTTTGAATGAAGCTGTTTCTTATGCGAATACAAATCGATTTATCAAGTTTTATCTGCTGGGGTTATGAAAGTGTTTGGCTGAGTAGATCGCATCTCAATTTGACCTTTCCAGGCTCTGAAGAAGGCGAAACCGCCGAAACGTCAGCAATTGAGTTCTAATAAATTCTATATTAACAACCTCGTGTCTGCTTATTGATGAAAAACATTGAATTATCAATTAATGCCGAGGTTAACAGAAAGTCGGTCATGGGAATTATCACAATATCTCTATCTTTTATCACTAATTGCTAAGGATTTGTCCACCTAAGTTTAAAATCCGATTGTTAATGGACATGTATAAAAACGAGTTTTTTCGTGACTACTCAATACTTTGTTCAAAAAAGTTCAAAGTGTCGTCCACAAAGGTACAAGTATTTCAGACCACGTCACAAGGAGACAATCACAATGGAGACACAATGTGGAACTCTTCGTAGAAAGATATCCAAGCTGAGAAGAACCACTATTCCATATGAAGATAAAGAATAAAACGATATGATTACTTAAAAAAAAGTTTTACTTTAGCCCCGTAAAAGCCAATGACGACGAGCATCGCGTACCATCTACATATCCATAAAGCAGTTTTGTTTATAGGATGGTCGTCATCATAACTAAAATTGAAGCACTTCATAGCTTACTATGACTAAATACATATTAGACATATATTATACTATATACATGTGCTTATACACTATACTATACTATACTATGCCCCTAACAGTTTACCGCCTCATTGTGGCAGGTATTCCTGGGTGTCGGGCTGCAATGTACGGCGGGGAATTCATCCACCCAGCAGGGTCTCCCAGGCTAAGGAGCACAGCGTTTCCACCAGGAAGCCCAGTTAAAACTAAACCGATACCAGGATTGACCACCGTCCCGGTATCAAACTAGTCGCATGGTCGCAAATCTCCCTTTGATCCACAAGGGCTGCGACGGCCCATGGTGGCGATGACCCGGGGCAGACTTTGGTTAGGCTGACCTCAGGACTCCAGGAAACCACGGTGGCTAAGCCAGTAGAACTCTGAAAAAACGTAAATTGTGCTGGGGCCCTCGCAAGCAGTGAAGACGGGCCATCCAAATACCCAAGTAAGTATATTATACCATACTACACTTAATTACTTAGCTCCTATCACTTACAAAGAAACACGCCCTAGATTGACAAATATGACCTAGAAACCTCAAACACAGCTACGTTTCCGCAAAAGAAATGGCCATAAACAAAAAGTGTTCGTAGTAACAATCATATTTTCTAACAGTATTCGAATTAAAATGTGTTCAAATAAAATATGTTCTCCGTATTCGCCAAGCGATAAACTAGACGAGTAAGAAAGTGGTGTGATTACCAAACATATGAAACGATAGACTTTTGAACGATCCATGATAAGACGTGGGGAATCAGCAAATGTGCTCCAATCACAGGTAGGTACGGTCGACCGTTTGTTTTCGTGCCCTCCTCCATCCTCTCAAACCATCCATCATCTTGTCCTCTTCAGCCTGAGAGGCCTTATCCTTTACAGATTGTTTCGCTGTGAATTACGAAATAACTTACTTCGCAGTTCCTAGTTCGTCGTAAAAGATCTCTTGCTTGATTTTTAGCCTTGAGATTATTTACTTACTTGATACTTGAATGGCCCGTCTTCACTGGTTGTGCGGCCGCCAGCATAATCTCCATTTTCCGCGTTTTGCTGGCTTAGCCATTGTGGTTCCTTGGAGTGCCGAGGTCAGTCTAACCAAAGTCTGTTCCAGGTCGTCACCACCACTGGCAGTCACAGCCCTTGTGGGTCAGCGGAAGATTTGCCAGCATGCGACTTTGATACCAGGACGGTGGTGGTTCCTAGTATTGGCTTACTCTTAGCTAGGCTCCCTAATGAAAATGCCGGACTCCTTCTCAGCTTGGGAGACTCTTCCAGGTGAACGAATCCCCCCGCTGTACGTCGCAGCCCGACACCCAGGAACACCTCCAAGCGGCGATGAGGCGAAAAATCGTTGGAGCTGGGAGGTGTCTTGAAATTAGAGTATACATTTCTGAATTTGTAGAAATTGCAGTAAGTACTTATTGATCGAAATGATAGTGATCTTAGTTCGCACATCTTCGCTGAAAGATCCAAATTTATTTACTCCATCCTTGTAAAATTCATTTGTCGCTTATAAATCATTTGGAGACACTTTCAATGGCGACTATGAGTTTTTTGCTTGAAAACTTTGCAGTTGATCAGTTTACGAGAAGTGCTTTGGTCATGTTGAAAGAGGCAGAATGTTAGATAGATCTCAGTGCTTCACTTACAATGTTAATTGCGTTGCAGCACAGCAGAACTAGTACAGTTCGTTTGATCAGTGATCATTCGCTGATGTTGCAGTTGACGTGGGCTTTCAGTTTCTCTGCTGTAGTGATTTTATCAGTATTGGAGAACTCATACGGGACGACTCCATCTACTAGGCGCTAAGAGATCGTCGGAGCCTTCATCGGAGGCAAATTTGGTTTCTGGAAGACAATAATTCGACTAGGAAGCGGATTGCTTTCTTTGAGTACAAGAAGCGCGGAGCAGACTTCAAGACAACAATCGCTTTGCTCCTCCATAATTTTGTAGGGAACCCATTTGTAGAGTATTTTAAATCTGCTTCAGTTAACGTCTTCAAATCCCATCGTTGATAACAAGGTCATTCCTTACTTGCTCTGGCTTTAACACATACGCGAAGTGGTGACCTCTATGAGAGTCATTTCGTGGGGAACACAGCGGCCGGTATGACCTATGCAGAGCTCATTTTGTTTGTGGTGGTTTATTTTCGAGAGCAGAAGTGTTTTTCTACATTTATGATTGTATTATTAGCTCCATTGTGCATTTGGAAATATATAAAATCTCTACATCTCCACCTTACGGATGTTAAGGGCAGTCTTATGCCCAATGATACCCACTGATATTCGCGATCCTGCATGCCCTGACAATCCTCCACACTTTTCTCATTGTTTTTTTTTTGACGAACGCAGTTTTTGAAGGTTTTTTTGGAAGGGAAGGGGAAGGTTTTCGTGACTATGAACTTCAATTCGTGCAAAGAAACTGTTCGTGTGGTTTCTTTTTTCTTCTAGTAGTGTAAATTGAGCGTGAGTTAACCTAAGAAAAGTGCGGCTGTTGATTGACAACTCTGATCTTTATGAATGTTGTTGTATGATTTTTGAGTAGATTCTTCTTGTAATCCTTGTATAGCCGTGGTAGGGCATTCCCAGACATTCACCACGGACAATAGCCTGCTTTTCGGTGAGGCCTATTCCCAGACGAGCCCACTACTAACTTCAGGAACCTGGAGCGTTGTGTTGGTGGAGTCGAACGAGGCCCTTGAACCGCGCCTTTACCATTGGGTTACGCGTGCCTACTTATAACTTTGATAATGAGGGTCTTCTATTACTAGTAAAACATCATGGCTAGTAATACCGCTGGATCCAATCCGATGTGTACTTTCAAGATTTCACTGTTGAGCCTTTAAAATAATTATCTTGACTTAAGAGTGTTGGCTTTTCTTCGAAGTCTATTAAAAGGGCTGCGCGTTTAGCGCAGTGGTCGGAGGCACACCGCAATACACATCGTATCGAGCCCAGGTCGACGAAGCCATGTCTCCATACCTCTGGGTTCAGCAAATTGGTACCAGACTTGTCTGGGAGGATAGCAACACTAGCTTGTTACATCGGTAGACCACCGCGAGTTATTGTAAGAAGGCCAGATGTATATTCAATCACCTCTAGCGATCCTTGGTGAATTGAAATGCATGGTGTATCCCTCAGGGATTGGTCAACGCGTTTAGGATTATTAAATCTAGTGAAGTGAACGCCAACAGTACGACTTAATGGTCACTAACTATTAGATCTTGCCTATAGTTTCTGAGAAGCGTAAGTTACCAGCTAAGACCGCGTAGAAATGGAAATTTTCCTCCAGTTATTACCAGAATGCGCGTGTAGCGCAATGGTCGGAGGCGCTGTGCAATACCTATTGGATCAATCCGACCGCCCCAAGTCCGTTAAGCCCTCCATTCCTTGGCGTCGGCAAATTGGTACTAGACATATCTAGAAGAATATCAGCACTGACTACATCGGTGGGTCACTGCGAGTCATTATAAAGGCCAGATATGCATTCAGTCATCTCTAGTAACGATCCCTGGTGAATTGGAATGTATGGAACGTCTCTCAGGGATTGATCAACGCCGAGAGCTTTATCCTTTTTCAGAGGTTTTTTTTTACCAATTTCCCACCTAATTGGTGAGCTGTGGAGCATAACGGTGCGAAAACCTTTTGTGGAAACCCATATCTGGAACATTTTGAAATATGAAGAGCTTGATCGGTACCTTTTCTTTCTCAGCTTATCCTTCGACTGCAGTAGATAAGCATTCCAAAGTGGATTTTGCGAGACACTCACTATTTATTATTATAAATGCTATGCGACATCCTCCAGTTCGATGGAAGAGATGTGCTTTCGTCAGATACAAAAGCTAGGAACCTAGAGTCTCACCAACTCTTTTCTGCTGTCGTGAATTCTTACGCAATGACGACCAATGCGGATGGCTAACTTGCAATAAAGAAACGAATGAAAGCTGTTTCATACCGAAAACGCTCGGAAGACGCTTCTTTAAAGTCTTAAACGAAAACAAATCAACATAACTATGGCCACATTTTTTGGCTTCTCAACTTCAGTACCTAGTGACAGTTTTCAGGGTGAAACAATACAGCGTCGATAAGTCTATTAGTTAGTTTTTTTTTTAGTTTAGAATTGATCATACTGTTTATGATCTCAGCACTAATAAGTCCCCATTTTTTATTGTAAGGAACTAATTATGGACTGCACTAATGTTAAGATCACAATTTTAGGGTTCTTATTTTGATAACTTACTTGGATACTTGGGTGGTCCGTCTTCACTGGTTTTGCCTGCCCCGGTATAATTTCCATTTTTCGGAGTTTTGGTGGTTTAGCCATTGGGGTTACTTGGAGTTCAGCCTAACTAAAGTCTGCCCAGCTCGTCGCCACCACACGCAGTGGTCTCTCTTGTGGATCGGAGGGAAATTTGGTATCATGTGGCTAGTTTGCTACCAGGTCAGCTGCAAATCCTGGTGTTGGTTTGAACTCAGCTGGGTTCCTGATGGAAACGTTGGCCTTCTCAACTTGGGAAGCTCTGCTGTGGGGATTAATATCCCTGCTGTACATCGCAGCCCGACACCCAGGAGTACCTCCCAGCCACGATGAGGCGATAAACCGTTGGTAGGCTTGTTTTGGTTTACTGCAGCAGTTGAATCTAATAAAAGGCAGTTTATTCTAGCAACCAAGTTCAAGGGATAGCCATACTGCCTAACGCGAAATTATGTTTTAAGTTAAGCATGGAAGATCGCAGAGTTATTCGGAATTTTGGTAAAGGAATGTTTTTTCTTTTATTACTAAAACTTCCATTCATGTACGGCCTATTGGGGTTAGCTTCTTCTGTTTAGGAACTAGGAAACCTTGATGGTAGTAATAACTCTAGTCTTCCAGCATTTGTTCGAGTATTGATTTTATTACAGAGGTTATAGACTTTCTACTTTCCTAGAAACTTTAAGATAAGTTGATTATTGAACTCTCATGGAAGTGACCCTTTCCATGTTTGCCATTTGTATAACCGTATGCCATTCGTATGCTTCAGAAGAAGCCTCACGTTTACGTAGAAAGAATGCATCATTAGGAAGCCTTTTGTTTCCAGATTTTTGTACAACTATGACTTCTATTGATCAAGCCGCAGTTGTAGTGGAATTATCTAACCCTTGCAGACTGGCTCCATCACCAATTATTCGTGAAGCTTGGGGGAAACGACACGTGGATATGGTAGGTGTTTCTTTATTCAACTGTTGTATAGTTTTTGAACCTGTTTTTATCGTAGTACATCTTCATTTGCTTCATTTTTCTCTGTGGGAACTTGTGGGAGCGTGTTGTGAAGTTCTTCTTTCGATCCATGTAGTCTCTAGTTACATGAGACCAAGGATTCCTTCACATTCAGGTTTTTCTATGGCGCTATTAAATTCGTAGAAAACCCACAGGATTAGTCAGATACTCACCGCTATGTGTGTAGTCAATTACTTTACATCGCATGTAAAAATATCCGAATTTTTTCTCTTTTGAAAACACCCTTAACTGGATGTGTTGGCCAGACAAAATATGTAGATCGGTATGTTCGTTACGTAACGATTTTTTATGTCCAGTTTAATCCATTCAGGAGTTGATTAGGTTAACTTCTTCCTATCCACGGATAGCAGAGGTGGATTAAATGTTGGTCGTAGGTAACAGCACAGATTTTTTTCGTGGAATGGAGCTTTTGAGTTCAGAAAGACAAGAAGTCCGTGGTTATCGGTGTTCAAAACTTCATCACTGCAAGAAAAGTCACTGTACTTTTAGTAGTAGGTGCATTACTACATTCTTATGCTTTACAACTCTCTAACAGTAATGAAGTGATTTCAATATATAGATATATGATATTTATTGGTTGTGTTCCTCCCAACGGTCTACCGCTTCATCGTGGCTGGGAGGTGTTCCTGGATGTCGGACTGCGATGTATAGGGAGGATTCGTCCCCCGGTAAGGTCTCCCAAGCTAAGGAGTCCGACGTTTCCAACAGAAGCCTAGCTAAGAGTAAACCAATACAAGGATCCACCACCGTCCTGGTATCAAAGTCGCATAGTGGCAAATCTTCCTCTGATTCACAAGAGCTGCGACCGCCTGTGGTGGTGAAGACGTGGGGCAGGCTTTAGCCAGGCTGACCTCGGGATTCCAGGGAACCACAATGGCTTCGCCAGCAAATCTCAGAAGAAATAGAGATTATGCTAGTACCCGCACAACCAGTGAAGACGGGCCGTTTAAGTATCAAGTAAGTAAGCATTGGTTGTGCTTGTGCACACCAATAGTCAACAAACTACCTGACGCGCATATATCATAGTGGGTGCGAATCAGGTCTGTAGTAAGGTAGTCGATGTCCACTTTGGTAGATTACCGGAATTTGCCTGAAGGGGTAGTTTAGTTTTGTTTAGTAGAATTTAAAGCATTTATAGGGGCGCTTGTAGCGCAGTGGTTGAAGGCACAACTGCGACACCCACGTGGAATCGATCTCCGCGCCCATAGCCCACCAAGCCTTCCTTCCCTCGGGGGTCGGCATATTGGTACCTGACTTGTCTGGAAGGATAGCAGCACTGGTTCAATACATCGGTAGGCCACTGTGAGTGATTTTGAAAGCCAGGTATGCATTCAGTCACCTCCAATTGAATGCATGGAGCATCCCACCTGGGTTGATCAACACCGAGAGCTTTATCTTTTTTTTAAACGCATTTATGTCGTGGCAAAACTTCAAATAAACTTTGGAAACAAAATTCTCACCAGAAATAAATTTGTTTCTTGTGAAAGTTTAGAATGGTGTTTTATGCAGTTACGATACTGGACTGTGCTTGCACTAACCATTATGTCAAAGAATCAACACATTGATTTTAGGAAAAATGAAGGAGAAGGTTGATTCATAATTTTTCTGCTACACTGATAGGAAACACAAACTGAAAACGCGGCACGAAATGTGGTTACTCTGGCATTTTCAAACACGATCGAAGTCAATAAGTTCGTTAATATTTGATAACATCGTCTCTACATTCTCCCACAGCCCATAATTTTTTCCTCACCTTGCTTTGTTCGCTTATTTTTCACCTAATAGCTTCGAACATGATGCTCTTGAGGTAAGGTTCGGCAATAAAAATCTGTTTGCAGTTTTCCAGTACTTATTTCATCGATCGTAAAATTCCAGGATGACGACGAAGCTCCACGTGCAAAGCGCAGGTTTGAGAGGGTGAGCGCGCAATTTGAGCGATTCAGCATATCAAGCGAACGCCACTCCAAGGGACGAGAAAACATGTGGGTTAATGGACCTTCTTTACTGTAGTACCAATCTATTATCTTTCATTCTTAATCTGAAACCCGAGTAATTATTGTTGCCATGGTGTCTATTTGTACTGTAACGAAGGAAGATGTGCATTTAAAATATTAGAGAGATCTCGATGTGCAGAGCAAAATATGTAAAAGAATTCCCGTATTCCACAGAGAATTATTTTACGTGCGTTAAAATTCTTTAGGGATACATCGGAATCTGATGAAGAGTGGTCTTCAAGTGATGGTTTCGCGGATGAACAATCGATAGAAGGAATTATAGAGGAACCAGATGAGCAGTCAACGAGTCGTGTGATACTCGATGACTGCTTGCAGAACTACATAGATAGAATGAAGCAAATTAGTAGTTTCGGTCTCCCGTCAAGGTATGCGTGTTCAAATATGCAGCGTCTCTTTATTGTTGGTTCTTCAATAATCTGAGAGTTTTTGCTGTTAAGATTTTCAATTCATATTTGTTGAATCCTTGTCCAAAAACGTTCTCTTTGGGACTTATCCTTAGGAGGCAAACGTATAATTAAATATGTTCTTCGTTTTCCAATAAGTTTCGGACACAATTTTTTTTTTATCGAAGAAGATACAAAGGAAAATATAGGCATGCAATGCAGGGTGGCTGAACTAGCTGAAAATTACCTGATTTTAATTTAAAAAAAAATTCGTTAAACTACCTAGGGACGTTATCCACGGGAACGAACTGGTTGTTTGGAGACCACTGACAGGGATCAGTGATCCTTTCCTGGATCCAACTATGAAAGGACGCATTCAAGAAGTGGATAACGTTCCAAATACGTCTAGTGATGGTATGTGATACTAAGTCAGTAGTTTGCTTTCTTTTTTCGGTCAACTCAATGGCCTATCGCTCTTTTTTTCATGAAATTTCAATTAGGTTATGGGTCGATGTTTTTTTTTTACCAACGCGTATGCTTTTTTAATGGTTTGTTCAGTGTTCACCTCTGATCTCATCACGGAAGCTGGAGAGGACGACGTTGAAACCGGGATACTAGAACAACTCAGTCCATCTCAGCAATATAAACCAAAAATCGAAGACGTCACTTTCCAAGTGGATGATTCTATGGAAATGGACTGTGATTGAACAACCGGTACAAAATAGATTAGTAGATTTGCTTCATATCTTTCGACATTTTCCAACTTTAGATCTCTAAATCGTTTTATGTTATTCTGGGTTATATTGTTTCACATGTAGATGTCTTGTCCTGATTAAATATTCACTATGTAGTTAGTTCACTATAGTCAAAATCTCATGGTTTAATTGTTCTGTGGCAAAGCATGGATATTCACTAATTTCCTGGAATACTATAAGGTAGCCTAAGATAGATGACGATAAGAAGAATGTGTATAATCGCCATATGTTGAAGCATTAGTACGAGAATTTAGTCTAGATAGGTTGCGACTTTTGAAAAGACATTACTGTATGCTTTTTGAGATATAGAAAATCTTTGCAGTAAGGTTTTTTTAAAATGTGACCTACCTGGAGAACTCATACATGTACTTAGTGCTTTCTTCTTCTGTCGCGAAGGCACAGCGCAGGCAAGAACCGCTCATCCTTAAGGATTTGTATCGTAGTAGACCTTCATGTGCCCTTATGATATCTTTTTTGAATTGTAACTTTTGTTTCTGTACATGATAGTTTAGATTTTTAAGGCATTCGGCAGGCTCATCTGTTCGTTCTACGTCTTTGTACATACGTTTAAGACATGCCTTTACTGAGTAATGATTCTTCTGGTTTTTGAGTATCATCTTGTGAAAGAAATATCTTACAGTCATAGCGTTTGATAAGCATGTTGGATTTCCCCAAACAGAACGTGATATTATGTACTTATTGGTTGATTTAATCGCGATAATGCGATTAGAGTTAGCGTTGTAAATGGACTTCAGGGATATTTCGTTTTGGTTATATTCCACGCAAATACGCTGAGCTAGTAGGTGAACTACATGAATTTGGGAGCTCTGGTCCAGAACAAAAAAAGAATGGGGGGAGGGGGGAATGGGAAGGAGGAAGCGTGGGGGAAAGAGGGAACGGTAATGATGAACATTTAACGAGGGCAAAGGTCACCCTATCAAGCTTCTTGCAACGTTAGTTTTGAAACGTTATTAGAAAGCATTGTCTGTGTTAGACTCCCTATTAGCTTAGCTCGTATTTGGATTATTGAAAAATACTTTTATTTTGGAGAATATTAGGGTTTTTTGAAAAAAAAAAGATAGAGTTTCCTCGACAATGAAGTAGTAGTACACCTTTGTCCTTGGATAGATATTTAATGTTCGCTACACGATGAAGAATCTAACATGTTGCTGCTTTGTTGGAGCCAATTTCCGACAAATTTCCAACCGGACGAGTGGAGTTTCCACCGAATAACGTTTCTTTCTTAATGCCTTCATCCTTAGTTAAACAGTTCTTTGCGGATCTTTCACACCTACAGATGCAAAGTGATATTTTGCAGAACGACGAACAAAAGTAGGGCACAAAATGTTTCACTAGAAATCACAGTTCTATCAAAGAATTAGAAGGCTTACAGCTTCAGGACTAGAAAACGAGGCAGCGTGGTGTGAACCGTCCATCACCGTCTAAACAGTTACATGGGCAAATCTATGAATGTTGTTCACAAATGTTTTGTGGAAGTGTTGACAGTGAGAATCTTCAAGGACGTTTATTTTGTTTGCCAAGAATTCAATATCTTATGAAAACTCGTGGAGACATAAAGTAACGTAGAGTTTTATTTTACTATACGAAATTGCTTACTTTGGACTATGTCTGTGCGGTGTTTCTGGGTTCCAAACTAGGATGTGAACTGGGGATCTCACACCAAACAACGTCTTCCAAGATGAGAAGTTTCAATTTACCGTACACAATTCCCACTAAGGGTGAAGAAGTTCTAGAGATTACTGCGGTCTTAGTATCAATCCAGTCACAAGCTGGAAAATCTTTCTCCGATACATAGTTCTTAGCCGAAAATACCGTTGGAACCAGTCCAAAGCAACACGTCTGCATGCCCTCCTGCTCTGTACAGAAGAATACAGTCTCCTCGAATGCTAGCTTTCACGTTCTTGAGGCCACTGGTCACATCGTATTCCATATGTTCTACAAGAGACAGAAGTAAGTGAGTCAACATATGCTGAATAGTCATCGATGACGAAGAGGTCTCGTCACAAAATTTCTGTGCGCTCAAGAAAGATCTTTACGTATCAACATTTAAGCAATGACGCCTAATTTTTCTTGACTCCCGCAATGGACGACACCCAATTTCATGTCTTCATGTACCTGAATTGTCGTGCTCCCAAAGGCTTACACCTTCATGGTGGCTGGGAAGTTTTCCTAGGTGTCGGTCTCCAATGTACAGCAAAAACTTCATTTCCCTCCTCAGCAGGTCCTTCGAAGCTGAGAAGTCTGACGTTTTAACCCGGAAGTTCAGCTAAGATAAACCAATATCAATCTTGAGTTGCATTGGACGTTATTGGAAACGGACAAAACGGGCATGCCCACAGGACACCATGCCGATGGACATGTGAGTCTCCTAACAGCGCGACTCAGGAGTCCGATCCGAATTCTCACGAACAGAATATGGTTCTCCCTTGTCATCTCAATAGTACCTGAATTCTGCATTGGATCTGATCACCACTTTCTTCGTGCGAAGATCCGATTCAGCCGCAAAATGGATAGAAGGATAAAGCTCTCGGCTTTAATCAATCCCTCAGAGATGCGCTATGCATTCGACTTTACTAGGCATTGTTGGTGGAGACTGAATACACATCCAGCTTTTACATTGACTCACGGTGGCCTACAGATGTACCGAGCCAGATGCACTACTCTCCCAGACCAGGCCGATACCACTTTGCCAACTCCGATTTGGTGGACCTATGGTGGAGGGACCGATCCTATACGTATTGCAGGGCGCCTCTGACCACTGCGCTACAAGTGCCCTTTCAACCATGAGCTGAAAAAAGCTGTTATCGTCCAAGAAAAACGAAACAAGCCGTGTATGACGAGGATATACCTAATAAAATCCTCTCATATGACTAGCAAATGATCCGACCGAGGACTGTGCGCTGCTTGTCGAAAGACTTGTGCCGAACTTGCCTCAGTTACTCAAAAAAAAAACGTACAGAGCGCATCTCCATTACCACCAATGGGTTCTGCTCGCTCTAAGGACTCGTTGGATGTCATATCTTTCTTTTAGGCTTTTCTTCGGTGGCCTTCCTGCAGTGCGTTTGACATTCCAAGGAATCCAGTCTTTAACGGCCCTTGTCCATCGTTTGTCATTCATATGCGTTATGTGTCCGGCCCACCTTATCTTCGACTGTTTGGCGTACAGAATGGCCTCTTTGGTTTTTGATCGTTGACGCATATCGGAGCTTCGGATCCCATCCCTTAATTGTGTGGAACGGGATACTCCAAGCATCGTCCTTTCGACTGCGCGCTCGATAACGCAGAGTGATCCTTCAACCTGCTTACGCAGCGACCAAGTTTCTGACGCATACGTTAGGGCAGGAAGTATCGCTGAGTCGAAAAGGTGGGCACGGAGTCGGGTGTTCTTTGTCCTCTTCACTAAATCCTCGATGCTCTTGAAAGCTTCCCAAGCCGCTCGTTTTCTTCTGCTCAACCCTGGAGCTAGGTCGTTCAACATGTTGATTTCCCGACCTAGATAGACATAATAGGAAGATACTCGTTCCGTTGGACTTGAGTGGGGCATACGAAACCAATCTGTTCCTCATAAACATCATTTCTGTGATTTAGTCGATGACCATTCTTTCCACAGGCTTTATCAAAGTCGGCAAGCATTCGTTCCGCTTTGCTAATGTTTGGTGTTATAAGCGCGATGTCATCAGCAAAGCGAAGATGATGTAACTGCCGATCATCGATTTTCAGTCCCATGCTGTCCTATTCCAGTGTTCGCATAACGTTCTGGAGGGTGGCGGTAAATAATTTTGGAGAGATAGTATCATCTTGCCTAACCCCTTCTCTATATCGATGTTAATATAGTTCTAGAATGGTGATATTTTTGCTGTGAAATTTTTGTACAGCTCACGAAGAATCTTTATGTACTGAGTAGGGACTCCCGGACTATCAAGGGCTTCCATGTTTCTATCTTAGTTGAGTCAGGCCTCTTTAAATCTATGAAAGTGAGACAGAGCGGACTTTTGTACTCCAGCGATACTTCAATGAACCTTGTTATGGTGTGGATGTGGTCCATCGTACTAAATCCTCTTCGAAACTTTGCTTGCTCACATGTCTGTCCTTTATCCACTGTTCTGTCAATTCCGTTTAGGATGAAGGATGAGTGAAAAGTTCGTAGACGATAGGCAGCAAACACATTGGGCGATAGTTGCCTATATCGTGTAGGTCACCCTTCTTGAACAATAATACGGTTCTGCTGGTCTTCCACTGAGTAGGGACCTTGAATTCAGAAAGGTAACGTGTGAAGAGCCGAGCCAGTGTGTTTACGAGGACTGGCGGAAAGTTCTTCAGGTGTTCTGACCTTATTCTATCCGGACCTGGTGCTGCTCGATTTCTCACAGACGAAATGGCACGTCGGATTTCGGAAGGGAGAACCGGTGCTACAACATATCCATCCTCCTTTCTTTCATATGACGGGAGATGGACGTGGCTATCGAAGGGATCTGAGTAGTAATCGTGAATCATTTTTCCTATTGGCTTTCTGGAAGCTGTAAGCGTTCCTTTTGGGGGTTCGAATTCAATCACCTTGGTTTTGTTATTTGCGAAGCCTTGGTGGGCTTTGCGAGTGCTTTACCCACCCTCTGCAGTTTCGACCATTACGGCTGCTCTTCTCTCTTTAAGATCTTTTTTTATCGCCCGTCTGCATTGTTATGCAAGTTCGAACGTTAGTTCTCGGTTGCCTGCGGCTTGTGCGATTCCACGCTGGAGTGTTAGCTCGAGTGTTTGTGGAGACAGATGTTTCTTGGTGACTTTAGAACTCTCAGCTTTCAAAGCGCTAACGTGAAGATGTTGAATGAGCCGACCGTATTCTTCGTCGATGTTATCGACAATGGCATCTCCCAACAGCCGACTAATGAATTGAATTTATCCCAATTTAATGTCCCAATTTATAGTGGTTTTGGGAAATCGTTTTTTGAATCTAGCGGCCTTGCCACCTTTCTGCGAGAAGTGGAATCTTGCACGAAGGAGGCGGTGGTCTGATCCCGTGCAGAATTTTGGGGCAACAGCAACGTCGGTGAGTGAAAACCTTCTATTTACTATGATGTGGTCTATTTCGTTATGGTACTCTCCATTGGGAAATTTCCACGTCCAGCGTTGAGGATGCGGCTTCTGGAATTGCGAGCTACCATGGATGGTCTTGGTCGCCATGATAAACTCAGAAATCCGTTCACCCTGTTCGTTCTAGTCCGTGGGTCCCAATGTGACGTTGTTCAGACGTTCTTCTTGGTCCAATTTCGGCGTTGAAATCTCCAATGATGACCTTGAAGTATGTATGGTCTTCTCTGCAGAATTTCTCTAAGTCCAGATAGAACGCTTCGACTTCTTCTTCATCATAGTTTAATGTCGACGCGTAATCGACGAAGATTGTCCAAGCCGGTATTGATGCACGTCTTTTTAATCGTAAACGTCCGATTCGGATTGTTAAATGTTCGGATAAATCGATGTTCATGAACAAACTCGTGTTGACGAGAACGCCGATGCCGCCGACTCTACTGTCGCATATTCCGAGGAACAGTTTTTCTCCGGTGTCATAGACGGCGTTGAATTGGTGGCGTCGTCTCGTCTCGGCCAGGCCGATGACTTCGCACCTTATCCTTCTTGCTTGCATGAACAAGTCTTCTATCGAGGACTCGGATGTAGATGTACGTGTATTGTAGGTACAGATCGTCATCTTAGTTCCTTGAAATCTAAACAGCTTACATTGGCATTGAGATTTTAGCAGCCTTTCTGTACTCTTCGTACCCAACGCTGCTGAATTGCATTTAAATGAAAGTAGAATTGAGGGCTCTTTTGAGGTTAGGGAATGAGGCTCGTTTCTTCTACTGTGTTTAGCATTTTGATACCTACGTATAGCTTGTTGGGCTTTGAACGTGGGGTTATGTATACTCACGGGTAGCTTGCCAGTCTTGCTCAGAGCATCGTGGAGCTTATTTGTCGGAGGCGACTTCTAACCACCCCTCCTACATTTGCTGCCACTTGATTGCAGGCTTTTGGCCGAACTGACTTGTAGAATAGAATCTGTATAAGCGAAAACGCACCCACACACGCATGCATGAATATGCTTTTCAAATACAGAAAGTATGTGCCAAATCGGCGCACCAGAAACAGGGAGTCCATGCCCTGGATCCACATGCGACTCAGGGAAACATGGTAGCTTTTAGTCCACTATTAACCCCTCTCCACCACCTGGGGACGCGCCACGTAGCCTCGCCACTAACCGGCTCGAGATTCCTCATGTGAGGGACTACCGTGGACAGGACTGCAGGTAGGAAGCTTTATCCACCGACCAAAAGTGAGCTAGATGAAAGCGCTGGTCTCCTTCTAAATTTTCGTGATGGCGGTCTGTCCTGTCCAGTGATCTCTGTATGTATGAAGAACACCAAGCCCACCGTATGTTTGGTATGAAGGCCATTTTTCCTTCGTTTTTGGCGAGACGGTGACCACGGATGCATGCCAACTTCTGGCCTTGGCTTGAATAGACTCATAGGTACCTTCATCTTCACTGAGGAGAAGTAGTGTCCATTTCTTGAATGCGACTCCGAACCGTTCCTCATATGATCACTACTTCCATATATTGTTAAGCTAACACGAGCTTGTTGTGAAACTCTTATTCGGCTAACGTTTCGTCGCCTTCATCTTCTTTAGGACCACGATGATTCCAGTCGATTGTTCACAGGCAATCGTTTTCTACTTCAAATCTGGGACCTACAGAATTGGAGGATAAGTAGATGGTCCAGTAGATGGTCCCAAGTTCACGCTTTACTACTCTGTGGATCGCGCACGTCGAATAACAACTAAATGGTTTGAGTCGCCTCACAGCAAAAGATCTCATGAATTCATGGGAAGTTAGAACTGGCATTTATGAAAATGTAACTCAAATAAAATGTCTGACTAATTCGTCAGAAATGAAGTCTACTGAATGCATAATGACCACAAACACCAGAATTCGATTTTCGCGCGCGAGCGCTGAGCGATTTATACGCGTCGCGTCCGCCCGCCTGGCGACTGGGTGGTTACCTTCTGCGCCTCACCTTCACGGTCCTTCCCGAGCAAGTCCTGAAGAAAAAAGAGATAGTAGTTCAGTCCTCACTTATTGGTGAAACCTATGGGTCTTTAACTATCGATGTTGTACTGTTCCTAGAACCTTGTCATTCACACGATCGATACTCCTTGCAGACATGTTACGAAGTGTCGATGATTACGTCGTTTGCTTTTAAATATATTTAGTCCTTTGGCTAAGCTACTGTTATATTCGTTAATGCAATCCTTGTAAACGTACGTCCCGTCAGCGTTGTTTAGGGCATCACGGCCGAGCACTAATTCCATTCGAGAGTGGACGTCACTTTTGTAGTTGATACGTTTGCAAAGCCAGGTACGGTGGTTTGTTGAACATGTTGGTATTTCAATCATGTTGAACCGATCGGTAGCGATGATGTGTTTATCAGTTTGTCTTAATCATTCGTCAGGAGCGGTTTGGTTTTGTTCAAACCAGTGGCTGTTCGTGGCAGCATCCGTTTCTGTGCAGGTATTAGACCACAGTTTGCCTAATCCAGTACTTCTTTACAGATTGTGCCCATAGACAAAGGCACAAGACGTCATGGCGAACATGATCACGAACAAAGACTTTATTGTTGCGACAAAATACAAACTCATCCGGAAGATCGGCTCTGGCTCCTTTGGTGACATCTATGTATCGATCAATGTGACGAATGGAGAAGAAGTGGCTATTAAGCTTGAGAGCAATAGGGTAAGTTTGAGGTTTCGATTTGTCGCTCATTTATGTTTAAACTGCTTCTATTTCGTTTTTCATACATTCATTTGTCACGTTCTTTAAGGCTCGCCATCCGCAGCTCTTGTATGAGTCAAAAGTATACCGCATTCTGCAGGGCGGCGTAGGAATTCCTCATATCCGCTGGTAGGTTTTTCCTCTTTGTACCTATATCGCTATGGCTCCCACTACATTGTGAGTGCTGCTGTAGGTGTTCTATGTTTCCCAAGTGCGTTCGCAACTATTCGGGACTGTTTTCGCAACATTTCTAAATTACTTGTTGACACTTTGTTTATCTAGTGCTGGGATTACTGTTGGGATTACTTAGTCCTTTATCAGTCAAATTTAGATTATTTTGGTTCTTCATAGTACAGATTTCGTTGTCTTAGCTATTGGAGCTTGTTCTTTCGGGAACATGTGTCTTCGTATTTTCATATTACCTACGAAGATATCGTTTCCACTCTTTTACCTAAGTTGTTTCTAATTGAACTTTGTTTACTATGTTGTATTTTAGTTTTTGATAACAAATTCACGAAATTACTATTGTTGTTTTGCTGACATTTAATTGTACAGTTAGTTGGGGTCCCTTAAGACGTGAATAGTAAAAAGATATTGTAGCAGCGTAGTTACTTAGGTAAACTATGTGCAGAGTTTTTTATTACACGTAATAGTCAATCGTTCCCATAGGTATGGTACTGAACGAGAGTACAACGTGCTGGTGATGGATTTATTGGGACCATCACTTGAAGACCTTTTCAATTTTTGTTCACGAAGATTTACGATGAAGGTAAATATGGTTTTTAACCATCGACTACAGTCTGTTCTTCTAAAATTGTTCCTCTTCAATGACGAAACTGGACTATATTTGTTCAGAAATGTTTATATCGTGTATGTTTTATTTAGCTTTTCTATATGCAATATGCGGTGGTGGTGGTGATGAACATGATGCGTTCAGTGTAAATTGCTTGAACTACGTCTTTACCTTTGTGCTAAAATCTTGTCTAATATCAGTATTAATTGGGCTTAAATTTATTACGTGTGTCTGGGCATCTGTTCATATTTTTCGTTCAGTTATTATGTATGAATCCATTTCAATGAGTTTTTCGGTGTTTCTAGACAGTACTGATGCTTGCTGATCAGATGATTGGCCGTATCGAATACGTGCATGTGAAGAATTTCATTCACCGCGATATCAAGCCGGATAACTTCCTCATGGGAATTGGTCGACATTGCAACAAACTGTTCCTCATTGACTTCGGTCTAGCGAAAAAGTAAGTAAAGATACTTGTTTTGGGTGGTTTTTCTCTCTAACTCAATTACATATAAGCAATATTTTTACTTTCAGCTAGCTGGTTTTCATTTTCATGAAGTTGTGCGGCTATTTATTCACTACATTTACCTAATTTTTCATGATGAAATATCTGTCAAAGTTTGCGCTCTGAAGTGTAGGGCTTTTTCATCGCATCATTGCTTTTTATTGGCTAACAATGTTACCTCGGTACTTGGATGGCCCGTTTTCACTAGTAGTGCGGACTCTAGCATAATTTCTATTCATTTTTTCCTCGCATAATCGTCGTCAATGGTGGTGGCCAGCTTTGAACATGCTGATTTCCACGAGGCACATTCCTAACTCCTAAAATCGATTCCATCTGTGAATGCTGTTAGACGCTTGACGTTACCCATCTGTGTTTCGCTATCGATATTCTCCTGCATCCTAAAATGGGGTAGGCCCCATGGGTTCTTCATGAACTGAATTTTTCTATTTATGCGTATTCCAATGTTGTTTCGCGCTTTATTGAGTTTGTTGATCATCACCTCTGCTTTATTAGTACTCATCGAAAAGATGACGATACCATCCACGAAAAGATTGTATGGGAACTTTTCATCAAGACAAGTCATTCTTGTCCAAACCAAGTGACTTCATTATCCACTGCAGTGTGGCAGTCAACATCTTTTAACGGTATTCTATCGCTTTGTCGAACACCTTTTCCTATCGGTCTGGGAATAAGTCGAAGAAAAAGCTATATTTTAGCGATGCATTTCCGATAACAGTTGGCAAATGTTCGTGTACAGGGCTGTTCTACTCTTTGGTCAACGGTCGTTGATAGAATTGCATTAGCTTCGACGCTGTTAAACGCTTTCTTGTAGCCTTCAAAAGTCAGGATTGGGATAGGTGATATACCTGACTAACATCTGTAACCTTGGAGACGGTCTGGATGTGGTCTATGCAACAAAATCCCTTTCGAAATCCTGCTTCCTTAACTGGTTGTTATCCAATGTCTTTGATATGCGCGACAGGACAATCTTCATGAAAAGATTTTAGGAGTGCGCTCAACTCGTTTTCCAGTGGTCTTGATTTTTTCTTTCTGAAAGTAATATTTCACATGTTGTTTATGCAGTTTGTGGCTTCCATCTCACCGGAAATTGTCAGTGATATCGGATCCTGGAGCCGAGCCAATCTTCATGCTTTCTATCGCAACTGGAACTTCATAGACCAGAATTTCGAAGTGTTTCTCTCAGTAGGGATTGTGGGGTCAGAGACGTGGGTTGTGGAGCGGAAAAGATTGGTATAGAACTTTCCGGTATCAATTCCATGTCATAGAGAGATGTACTGATAAAGCCGTCTTCGTTCATTGGGGCGAATAGCGAAACACTATGGTCACAAGGATCCTGACGACATTTCTTTAAACTAGATGGTTTTGAGGTGCTTCCAATAAATAGCTTTTTTTGCCCTACCTTTGCAAATTCTCTGAAAATCTACAGTCATCAGCCATGTTTGCTGCTGTGTTGAATTAGGATCAAGCTTCAGTGTCCTCTTTTCGAGCAACTCCCTAGTGGTAATGGAGATACGGTCTCAGTTTTTATTTTTTATTTTTTATTTCTTTGAAGAACTGAGGCGAGTACGACGTAAGTTTAGTCCTTTGACAAGTAGCTTTTAGTCGTTGGCCGTGTCTTCCTTTATCTGCTTGTCGTATGAAAGTTTTTTATTGAAAATATCCTCATTGTGCAGGCAATGATAGTTTCTTTTCCAGTTAGTAGCTGAATCGATTCATCCACGGCACTGTTTTCTGTTCATGGGAATATGATGGATATCCGAATGAATCGTGCCGTTAGGAGAACCCCATGTTCATTGGTGATATTCTCTGTTCTCGAAAAATGAATTTTCATGGAAGAGGCATGCTGCGCACAGTAATCCTACAGCTACCGGTTTCTATTCTAATTTCATTCTCCTTTTCCGAATAGGATTTACTTATACTGCATTCATTTTCGTGAGCCGTTCCTAATCTGGCATTAATCTCTTCAACAACGATTTTATAGAAACACTTCTCGTTACGGATTATTTTCTCTAAGTGATTGTTAATTGATGACAGTGACCTTCTCTTGACGCGGAAGTTGGGAACGAAGAATGACCAGACACGGTGGTAGGGTTTCATATGTGGCTAAATGGGAAATAGATGTGTACGACAAACCAACGCCTCCCACATTTCGTAACGGAAATTTCCCTCCACGAATGACAAAGGTTCTATCATCTTATGTTTGGCTTATGTTTGTCTCTAGGAGAGCGAAGACTTAGAATTTGATGCGATCAGCAACCTCAAAAAGAGCATAGAGGACGGCTTCAGAATAAACTGTTCTGGTGTAATAGATGCAGAACAAGAAGCAGTAGCTCCTACCACCAACCTTCTATTAACGTCGGTCTTGATCAAGTAATTCTTCGTATTCTTGTTGAGCAAACGCGAGGTGTTACTTTTATTTTTTTATTCACAAATAAGCTGACGTTTCGGCGGATTTCGCCTTCCTCAGAGCCGCTTTCTATGAGGCCTCCACTGAGAATGTCGCGTAAAGACCAACCGCACAGAATTCAATTCTTCCGGATGTAAACATGGGGTTCCGCAGTTGGGTAGGTTCTACTTGGGGGAAACTCCTCGCTTTGTATTGGAATCCGACACCCAAGAAGACCTCCTGGCCACGATGAGGCGATGAAGCTTTATGAGGACTCACTATGTTCGATGATATAGTTAAATCCTCGTTTTTATTTTCATCCGTAGTAATTCGTTATACTTTAGCGACATTTTGTTGACATTTAGCCTCCTCGTGGTTATGTTGTTGCTTTCTTTTAGCAGCAATTTACTAATCCATGAATATCAGTGGAGCCGATGTCTAATTGAAAAAATATGTTTCAGTTATTCAAGCTGTCTGTATTAAGTAGTTTCTGTTAGGTTTCTCAAGTGACGTTTATTTAGTAGCAATGGATATTTTAAGAGGTAGAAATAGAAAAGCAAGAAATGATACGAACAGTCATCTACTGCAGACATTGTTACATTTATTTAGATGGCCTTTTACCTATGCGTTTGTATCATCAAAAGGATGCAATATTTTTGATGCATGTTTTTCTTAAATGCTTTACTTCCCGAAATTTCATTCACTTTAAGGAAAGTATTCGTAGTATTTATTCGCTACGTTGTTCGGATGGATCGTATTCTTGAGTTATTCCAATAGTAGAATAGGTTTCAGTTGCTTCATTCGCTCATGACCGTCTCGATTTGTAATATTTCGAATGTCTCGACTTGTCTTTGTCTCTTTTTTATCTTCTGTCTTTTATGTTGCGATTTGTTTTGCGCAGGTGACGTCGTTGTTCCAAGCGATCAAAGCTGTAAATTCAATTGGTACAAATTCGTGTTCTAATGTTTGGGTGGAAGTCTCCTTTGTTTGGCCCGTGGTGATTATTAATTCTTACGCGAGAATTATCAGTTAGGTCAACTCAATGGTTCATTGAAAACAACCTTACAAAATAACGCCATGTTGAAAAACCTATGTTACGATGGAGAACGAACCGTGACACGTGGCCACTACCTCTGTGGGATAGAAATTGAACGAAACGGCAGTACAATAATTAGAACAAATCTGTTATTTTCCTAGAGGTTGCCACGAGGCATCTGCCCATCTACTTAGACGATTTTATCAGTATTTTTCACCCAATAATACTGAATTATTTTTAGGTTCCGGGACTCACGCACGAGAGCGCACATTCCTTATCGAGAGGATAAAAATCTCACGGGTACTGCTCGATACGCTTCAATCAACGCTCACCTCGGAATAGAGCAAAGTAGAAGGTTCGCACTTCGTTCGTTTGGTTAATACCTGGGTATATTTTACCCATGTTTAGGGATGACATGGAATCTCTGGGCTATGTATTAATGTATTTCAATCGCGGAACTCTTCCCTGGCAAGGTTTGAAAGCTGCGACAAAGAAGCAAAAATATGAAAAAATTAGTGAAAAGGTGAGTTTCTTGGGACTTTTATGGTGTATCCCAATGTTAATTGTAAATTACGCTTACATTTAAAATTTATGAATGGTTAAAATCAGTCAGCAAAGATTGCTATGTAATGGATTAGAGAACAGTTACTGCGGTCACACTATGTTTCGTTCGTTGATATATGCTTTGCGTTTCCAACATAATGGTGAAATGTTTTTACTTTTTTCAATTGTTGTTGCGGTTAAAATCCAGCGATGGAACTGTTATTTTGAAATTTTTGCATCCATATTGTATCTGATGCTCTGCTTTTCATTCGGAAAAGTGGCAGTACTCTTAGAAAATGTGCACATGAATGTTCTGTTGCTTTACTATCTTTTTTGCGTTAAGTGAACGACGTTGGGGGAGTAGGTTTGGAAACCTATTAAATGAGCTAATGTATTGCAACTAAAAATTTTAGTACGTCCATCGTTTTGTTGCCTCGAGCTTGGTAATATGTTTTATGTTGAGAACAGTTTAATTCTTGGAATCGTGTTTAGATAAAATTTTAAAAGGACGGCAAAAATTCGAAGAGGTTTAAAATTTTATTTTTTACAGAAGATGTCAACATCGGTGGAAATGTTGTGTAAAGGTTTCCCATCGGAGTTTCCCATGTATCTAAACTACACTCGTGGTCTTCGTTTTGACGAAGCACCCGACTACATGTACCTTCGACAACTGTTCAGAATTCTGTTCCGTACGCTTAATCATCAGGTAGTGAACTTTAGCTACTCATATGGAAAGTGCTTTTGGCGCGTTCTTGCCCATATGAACTGGTTTCAGATGATACTAAGCGAATCACGTTGCACATTATGCATCGACTTCAATGCATATTATTTGCGATCATTTTTTTAAAAACAAACCAGGCTTCCTGAGACACTTTTTATACACAATCAATAGCCTTCCTATGCCAGGTGCAGCAAGAATGACAGGAGAACAACCTTTCATGTATATCAGAATACACCAAAAATAACTTCTGAGGTCTTGTTGGGTCCAATGCCACCTTTTCTTCGCTTTTTATATCAATAGAATGACATTGCCGATGAAGCTGGTAACAAGGCTTTTTTTCGGTAGTACAGGCGTCCTGTGACAATTTGTTCGTTAACAAGGGGAACTTTCTTATGAAGAGAGTACATGCTATTGTTTTTGCCTTATGGGAAGTGGGTATTTTGCCAGTGTTTTTTAAGTTCATCGTAAATCGCGTACGGTTGGGAATTTAAGTGTAGTCGCTAATGTTGAATTGCTTTTTCTTTTCACTGATAAACTGGGTTTTGTAGGCAATGTCTTGTTCTATCATAGATTTTAAGCATATTGATTCTATGCGTTGTTATTTTTTTAACACGCAAAACATTTTATTTGCTCTTTCATATTCGGCTTTCGGATGGTAACGCTAGCTAAATACAAAGGGTTTCGGTTTTGTGGCAGGTACGGTTGTTGTGTAAGGATTTTCGGTCTCCTTTATGAAGGTTGTTGAATGCTGGTCGAGTCGATTATGGAATCCTGGTGTAGCAGTGCTAAGGAGATCTTCATTACAAACAGTCTCCAGGTTTTGTGCATTAGTGGCAGCCAGGCGATCCCAAACGAGTTTAGTACCAATTTCACAATTCCGGAAAGATGGAAAGTTTGGCGGGTCAGGGGCGAGTTTTAACTAACACGTTGCTCGTACTGGGTGGCAACACTCCCACTGCACTGCCCACCGCTTATCAATGTAATGTAGCTTTTCTGCGCATAACTTTTATGTTTCTGTCATTTAGCAATTTTGGTAGTTTGCAATGTTTTAACTTTTAAGCTTTTTATTTACTGCCTATTCTTTTTCGACGGCAGGGCGTGTTGCGAAATATAACTTCTATATTGCTGAGATATCTGCAAAACTGCCATGAGCAAAAGGGCAAAAGATCGATAGAACTAGTTGAGAGACAGCCGAAGCGAAGGATCCGCATGGTGTGGTGGGGAACGCGTTACTCCCCGGAAGGGACAATAGCGCGCGTTCGTTCCCCAGCGCAGACACCTGCGGTCCGGAGTTTTGCAAGTATCTCAGCATTATAGAAGTTTTAACTTTTATTTGCTATCTATTCTTCTATTCTATTTGCCGTTCATGATATGTTGTTGTGTGAAATACAAGCACAAGGACGCTGAGGTACGACCAACACTCAAAATCTCAGGTGCACTTCAAACTGTGATTACCCTTTCGGCGAGCTCTCGCATAGCCCACTCCACCAACCGAGGGCCTTGCTTTGCCCGAACTTAAAACGTCATTTCTACTGCGGCTTCAGCTTAACTGGGTTCAACGCCGATCAACTTCCGAGATCATTCTCGTTGACACGCGATTGCGAATATGACCGTTAGGTTTAAAAAATTGCCTGAGAGAAAGACAAAGCAAGAGCCCCTAGTTGATGCAGTGGACAATACGTGACCTCGCCGAAAGGGTAATCGTGGGTTCGAAGAGCACCGAAGGCCCTGGGTTTTGCTCATATTTTAGCATCCTTTTGGTAGTTTATTTTTTTTTTTGTGTTCTATGTTAAGGATGCTATTAGTAATGAAGTTTTCACTGTTTTAGTACGATTATACCTTCGATTGGACTATGCTTAAGCAAAAGGCATCACAATCGCAGAATACGATGCTTCAGCCCGGCGCTAGTGGTTCCCAACAGCCGATGCCGCTGCCCAATGCTCCTCCGCCGCAGCAGTAATTCTTTTCGCATCAGTTGTTGTTAGTGGATTTTTCCACGTAAAACCCACTATCCCTTATTTCAATGTGTTGGTATTGTATTACCTATAACACACCATTTTTCGTGGACATGGAACACTACCATCAAAATGAAATGTTCTATTAGGTTTTTTTTTATTCGTCATCGTTCCAGATCCCGTTCAATATGTTTTATTGTTTGTGCTGTTTTTTGCTAAGAGTTTTCGGCTCTGCAAATTGCTGTTCGCGTGGTGCGAATTTTGAAAGTAGTTGAACACGCTCTAAACTCTCGTGCTTTTCAACTACTATGATTTGTAAATTGGAGTCATCCAGTTTCATTGTAGTTTTTTTTTTGCCAACAGTCGATGACATCCAATGAAAATTAGTCAGTTTTGCGTCCGAGCACTACTATTTTGTCTCTATTTTTGATGATGTCCAATTGGGTTTAGTTCCGATAAAGACGTGCTTCATTTTATTTGTTCAAACATCAAACATATTGCTAAGAGGATTGGAAATAAAGGATAGAAAGGATAAAGGATAAAGCTGTCGGTGTTGATCAATCCCTGAGGCATGCGCCATGCATTCGACTTCATTAAGCATCGTTAGAGGTGATTGAATGTCTATCTGGCTTTTACAATGACTCCTGGTGACCTACCGATGTATCGAGCCATTGCTGCTACCCTCCCAGACAGGTCTGGTACCAATTTGCCGACCTCGGGGGTATGGAGGGCTTGGTGAGCCTATGCTGCGAGGTCGACCTCATGTGTATTACAGAGGCTTCTAACCAGTGCGCTACACGCGCCATTACCGCCTAAATACCTTTTGTAAAAAGTACAAGCCAAAAAAAAATACAGCGTTTAAGCTCGTCTACATTTCTTTTATACAAAAATGGCGATAAAATGTTTGTCCTTCCTGGGTGTTTTATGCGTCGTCTTCAGAAATCTTCCCAAGTGTATAGGGAATATTCTACATCAACTTGAATCTACCAAAGACAGTTTCCTTGAAGAATAAATGCGTTTTACTAAAAATTCAGACTAGCTTTGCGGCATATCGAAACCTGACGAGAACTGGGCATTCGACTTCATTCAAGATGAGACGCGACCTCTATAGGAATTATAGCTAATGGGACATAGAACAAAGTGCGACCACTACGGTGGTCGTTTTCTTTCAGATGATTTATTTAAGCGTACAGAACCTTTTTCTGTACTCATAATCAATCGGTAGCTTGTCCAAAATGTGTTTTGTCGAGCCGCGGACGCGAAAAGCTGTCGTTTGCACTCAGAAAATACAAGAAACCTTTGGTCGAACGAGTTTGTTGACTGTCAATTCAACTCGTACTTGATTTTTATTCCTATTCCCATCGCTATAATAAATCATAGTTATCGTATAGATCGGGCGTATAGATAGGAGAATACAGAAATAGGCTCAGCATGAACTGGAAAACACTTTCAAGTGCTGATAGCAGTGTTAACGGTTAAGCAAAGTAACAGTAAATGAAAGCGTGGTACGAAGATATATAGATGGAGGTGTGAGAAGGTGAGAAATGCTGGGATCCACACAGTAGACGTGAAGACGGGTCGTATAAAAAAAGAAATAGTAGCATACACACCATTCATACCAAAATAGCGATAGAGCAAGATCTCCTCTTTAATTCCTTCATGTTTTCAATTCAAGTCCTATAGTTATTGAAAAGTTATTGTCCATTGGTGGAAAACCAGCATCTCCCGAACGGCTGACACCTAGGTATCGTCACCAATGTATCAATGTATTGTGTAGGTTAATAAATGCATATCTGGTTCATTCAGATTTTCTGGGGCTCAGCGATATGTCAAATCAGTGGCTCTATCCTTCTAGACAAATCTGGCATCAAACTGCCGACTTCGGTTGGATGACAGGATCCGCCAGCTTGCGTATGGTTGAAGGAATGACTGTGCTCACACTATCTTTAAAAGCTGCGCTACTCGTTCTGCTCTGGTCAGATACTTACCTAACTTGATACTTGGACGGTCCGTCTTCACAAGCTGTGCGGAGCCAATCACATATGCCATTCGTTCCTTTCTCTCGTAGTCCATGGTGGTGGTCGTGGTGCCGCACTGCAGTGGATAATGAAGTCACTCGATTGGGATGAGAAAGGCATACGTATTGATGGAAAATTCCTATCAGACCTTCATTTTGTCGACGAGATCGTCGTCTTCTCAAGAATAGCGAAGCAGAGGTGATGATCAACGAGCTCAACGAAGTGGGGAAAAAGATCGGACTTCGCATAAATCGAAAGAAGACCCAGTTCATGAAAAATCCATGGAGCGAAGGCGAAAAAATTGAATTGGTGAGCTTTAAAAAAGCTTAGAAACTTAGCTCTGGTCAGATGGCAACTATAAGTCAGTTCCATCCAAGCATTTGAATATATCGCCTTCATGTAATTTTTTTAAATATCGATAAGTTATAATAACATAAAGTAGGGGATAGTCAAATATTACATATCTGATTTGCTAACTAAAGGTATCCATAAGATCAAATTGCTCAGCTACGAGACGAAATCCATCCTTAGTAACATATGTGAACAGTGGTGTCCGGGTGTTTCAACTCTCTAAAAAGTGGGATTTGAAGGAATCGACTGTTTAACAAAACGATTAAACGCTGGCTGGTAGGAATTCAATAACGTTTTACGAACCTCCTCAAACACACTTTTTACAAATGGAGATATAATACTTGGATAGTCTTAACCCTTTTATTTACTGCCTTTTTCTTTTCAATATCAATAGAACTAGCTGAGAGACAGACAAAACGAAGGACCCGTATGGTGTGGTGGTGAAGTGCGCTACTCCCCGGTAAGGACAATAGCGCGCGTTCGTTCCCCACCGCATACACCTGCAGTCCGGAGTTTTGCAAATATCTCAGCATTACATACGAGTTAATACTTGGATACTTGTATATTTGAACGGCCCGTCGTCACTGGTTGTGCGGGTCCCAGCATAATTCCTAATTTTTCGGAGTTTTACTGGTTTAGCCATTGCAATTCCCTGGAATCCCGAGGTCAGCCTGGCCAAAGTCTGCTCCAGGTCGCCACCACCATAAGCAATTTCCGTCCTTGTTGATCAGAGGGCTATTTACCACCATGCGACTTTGATACCAGGACGGTGGTGGATCGTGGTATTGGTTTACTCTTAGCT